CATATTCAACTGAAGTTAACTTTCTTGTAACTTTAACCCATCTGATCTAATCTTGCTCTCTAGGGAAGAGATTTTTAACTGGCTCTTTAGGTATTTGAGGAGTGCTTTCATGTCTCTGCTCAATCTTTTCTTCTCCAGGCTAAATATGTACCATAATTCACCGGGGATTTGCATATACAAACAATTCCCAGGAGCAACAGCAACAATGGTGATCAAAGGTGCTTTCTCAGACATTGAAGCAGTTCCAGCGCATGTATCACTAGTACAGCTATCAAATATTGGCTTTAAAAATATAGATGACCACTAAATAACAGTAAAGCATTATTATTATTATTTTGTGAATCTCGTTGCTACTATGTAATGATTAACCAAGCCACTACACATTGAGGCCGACAGTCACATCCGATTGCCACTCCATATCTATCCATCATGCTTCCCTAAACAAATGCCTAGTTTTTGTGGGCACTTGCCAGCCCTGCAGAAGATTACAACCTGGTTTCTGAAGGTCCAGCCAGTCATCTCAATGCATGTAGGGCCTCTAAGGTGATTGCTGCTGCAACGTTTACAATATTCATGCCACAGGCTGGAAATTGTAGTTTAACAATATCCCAAAGGCTTCAGATTCTTCCCCACTTATTTACTGATTAACAGCTAACTAAAGCCGAACTATAGAACTTGAGGCTTCCAGATGTCTGTGCCTAAAATCCCCCTTACCTATAGTTAACACAATGTGTGCTCACAGATTTTGAGAATTAACTATTTCATAAAGATTTGGAAGTTCTAAACTAAGATGATAGCATAAATCATGTCCTTTACATTTCATTTTCTTACTTCAAGATACTTCTCTTGCTTTTATTCTGCTTTCAAAATGGCTCAGACATATTGGACGTCCAAACAATTGCTTTTATAGTAACCCCATTTTGCTTTTTCAGACCCCTCCCTCATGGTCATCTGAGTGGTGTTTCTATTAATAGTGTTTATCTTCAGCATCTGTCTGATTTCAGAACAAGTTTTTGAAACAAGCAATTTCATTTCATTAAATAACTTAGTAATTAAGGTGTTTTACATAGAGTTAGAGTATACACATCCTGTACATGTGATGTATGGCTGAATTAAGGTTAAACTTTTGTGGTGTGTGTCAGGGGTGGGTTCTAAATTTTTTTACTACTGGTGATACAATTTTCCATGGTTTTTTGATTGTTATCTATAAAAACCTGGAAAAGGCCAAATGTTGGCCCTGTCCCTTCTGCCAAAATGTCAAAATATAATGGAATAAAATCCCCACATCTGCACAAAATTTTGGGAGACTTTCAAAGGTTGCTCATCTCCATTTTAGGTCATGTGTTTTTGTACATTAGAGATTTCTGTATCACAACAAGGATTAGTAGATCAAAGGTAAGGAATACATATAGTCCTCAACTTACAACAGTTCATTTAGTGACCGTTCAAAGTTACAACAGCCCTAACAAGTTAACTAACAGCCCTAAAAAAGTGACTTATGACCATTTTTCACACTTACGACCATTGCAGCATCCCCATTGTCACATGATCAAAATTTAGATGCTTGACAACTGTTTCATATTTATGATGGCTTCAATGCCCTAGGGTCATGTGATCAGTTTCTGCGACCTTCTAACAAGCAAAATCAATGGGAAATCCAGATTCACTTAACAACCATGTTACTAACTTAACAAATGCAATGATTTGCTTAACAACTGCAGCAAGAAAAGTTATAAAATGGCACAAACTCATTTAACAAATGTTTCACTTAGCAATATAAATTTTGGGCTCAGACTACCTGTACTCTGATTTTTATGTTGTCCAACACAAGCTATAATATGAATGAGCCTTCTAAAGGTTCAAGGAGCCATATCACTTTCCCTTTGTGAAGGGATCAGGTAAATATAAAGTTGAAAATATTTTCCTATTTCATCCTCATGGGAAGCTTTATTTACAAGTTTCCAATAAGACAGAATATTAAACAGTTTCAAATCATGATTATATAATCTAATTTGAATGGGAAATTATAGTTAAGAAGGTTTCTAATGAAATTTTCCACCTTGAAAGAGGAAGGAAAAGTACTACATGCAAATAGATTATTCATATGAAGCTAAGATACAATAGTTTAAATACAATCTGTTTATATGAAAGTCATTATTTCTATTATTTAGAAATAGAAAGTGTTTATCCATCCTAGAAATTTCTTATATTATATTTCTTATGTCTTATGCAACACATAAGAATACATTTGGGCTTTTCCAGTAGTTTAACAGTTGTAAACAAATATATATGCTATGTGAGTTTGTGTAATTCAAGAAACTTGCTGGCTTCCAATTATATACCAGTAGGGGTATGTTTTACATATAAAAATTGTATTCATCTCAAGCATAATTAATTTAACTTGGAAAAGTGGGACTTTCAGAATATACCTTTGCACTGGGAAACATTTGTATTGTCTGAGATGACGAAAGTTGCATTTCTGGTTCTTCAGCTTTTTTTGGAATGTTCAAATTTAAAGACAGTTTTAGGCGTGTCTCCACTGAGCCATATGCTTTCCTTCCTGGGTCAGCATGGCAGGCTCCAGCCTAGTACTGTACTCCAGTGGTGGGTTACTACCAGTTCACCCCGGTTCAGGCGAACTGGTGGTAGTGGTGGGGGAGGCTCCGTCCACCTGCCCAGATGTCATCACAGAAGTTCTGCACATGTGCAGAAGGTTCTGCGCATGCGCAGAAGTGTGGTGCACACGTGCGCGTGAGTGCTCTCGATTCTGAACCGGTAGCGAAGGTAAGTGGAACCCACTACTGCTGTACTTACAAATTTATAATACTCAGCACAGACACCTACAGTAGGTGCATCTCATGGACCATTAGCCACATGTCCATGGTGGTGCATGGTGGTTAGAATACAGTATTGCAGGCTAATTCTGCTGACTGCCAGCAATTCGATACTCAAGGTTGAGTCAGCCTTCCATCCTTCCAAGGTTTATAAAATGAGGAGCCAGAGTGTTGGGGACAATATGCTGACTTTGTAAACCACTTAAGAGATGGCTGTAATGCACTGTGAAGCAGTATGTAAGTCTAAGTGCTATTGCTAGAGCTATTGCTATTTGAAATTTTTTTAAAAAACTATTGATACATATATTGGAGGTCTTATCAATTTCTGTTGCAGGAGTGCATGGAACTACAGGCAAATGTTCACTAACTATTGCAGCAAAATTTGTGAATACTAGTACACAATACTGCTATTTCTGGTTCCCGTGGCCAATTAAATCATTTCACTGTTTGCAAAGTTTTAATTCCCTAGAAGCATCTTAACTGTAATATAGTTATGAGATTCTTTTTGAGCAAAGAAAAATGTGAATGACTTTGCTGTAAAATGGCCTGGATTTGTGGTCTAAACACAAATAATAATAATAAACAGAGTGATTTGCAGTGATGATATGTGGCCTTTCTAATTAAGCAAAAAAATTAGTTGAGATAACTGCAAAACATTATTGCTTAAAATATCTCCTTAGCAGCCAATGTTTTCTTTGTGTTGTTATCTATCATGTTTGTAAGTTCAAGCACACATTCATACCTTAAGCCTTCTTTGAATCATTGAAAAGAAGAAATTTTTTTAAAAAAAAATATTTGTGAGTAAAGACAGAATATTAATGTACCAATGCCTCACTTACTTGGTTGCATTGAGAGTTGTATAACTTGATGACACAGAACATAGAATGTTTTGTTCAGAAGACTTCCCATAAGGTTCCCAGTATTATCAGTTGTCAAGGGTAGATATTCAGCTGTTTATTTCAACCCCCATCCAACTGAGTGATGCTGCCAAAGTGTTGTTCCTGCACTTGGAAGCCATTTGGGTTTGGATGGTCAAGAACAAACTTAAGCTCAGCCCTAGCAAGACCAAGTGGTTATAAGTATGAGGACTTTTCATATTAAGGAACATTCATTTCTAGTTCTACGCAGGATGGCAGTTCCCCAGCTAGAACTAGTGTACAAGATTTAGACTGTCAACCTATGTTTCAAGAGGGGGTGGGAGCTGGGACGAGAAAGGGATTTGCACAGATTCACCAATTACATCCAGTCAGTGGTGGGATTCAGCCAGTTCGCACCACTTTGGGAGAACAGGTTGTTAACTTTCTGAGCAGTTTGCCAAACTGGTGTTGAAAGAAATCATTAGGGCAGAGAATCGGTTGTTAAATTACTTGAATCCCATCATTGCATCCAGTCCTTGAAAGGAAGACCCTTCTCACAGTGACTTATGCTATTGTCACATCATATGTGGATCACTGCTTTATTCTCTATTTGTTTAATAACCATGTGTCTCACTTAATAATTTACATAATAATATGTAAAAATAAGTGTAAAATTGAATCCAGTCACAGGTTGTCTTGACTTTCAACTGCAATGACTTAATCACCAAAATTCTGGGTTCAATTGTGGTTGTACTTCATTTCATTCATTTCATTTTCATTTTATTAAATTTGTATACCGCCCTACTCCCAAGTCATTAACTCAGGGCGGTGAACAGCCATAAAATAAAACATATAAATACAAAATTTAAAATAGAGATAAAACAGATTAAATAAATTTGGCTGAACCATATTTAAAACCCCAATAATTTAAAACCAAATTTAAAATTCCCATTTAAAAGAGGAAAAGTTTAGGTCAGGCCGGCTTGCTGGAATAGGAACGTCTTAAGCGTGCGACGGAAGGTACGCAGATCCGGAATCCTCCGTATCTCGGGGGGGAGCTCATTCCAGATAGTAGGTGCCCCCACAGAGAAGGCTCTCCCCCTGGGGGCCGCCAGTCGACATTGTTTGGCCGACGGCACCCGGAGGAGCCCCTCTCTATGGGAGCGTACTGGTCGGTGGGAAGCTATTGGTGGTAGCAGGCGGTCCCATAAATAACCAGGTCCTAAGCCACTTCAAAGAATACCTGTATGTAAATATGAATATAACGTGCTTCTTGGGTTGAAATTTCTTTTTTCCTTCATTGTCACAGGAGCAGTTCTGAAAGAAGGAAAGAGAAATCAAGGGATGCAGCAAGATGTAGAAGAAGCAAAGAAACTGAAGTATTCTATGAGTTGGCCCATGAGCTACCATTGCCTCACAACATTAGCTCACATCTGGACAAAGCATCTATTATGAGGCTTGCAATCAGTTTCTTACGGACACACAAGCTGTTGTCTTCAGGTAAGGACAAAATGTTTCAACCGTGGTCAATTCCATTGTATTAACTGATGACCCAGCAGCTCAACTTGTTTTCCCATTTAAGAGGATAGCCTAATCCTATGAAATTCCAATTTATTAAACTTAATTCATTTTCTCCTACATGAGCTGAAGATCATCAAAGACTTGTGATCCTTTTGACAGAAGCTTCTGATAGGTGGCTTTACTTTTTAGTCTGCTAAGAAATATAAAATGCTCCCTTCTATTGTGAACAACAGAAGATGTCCAATAGCATGATTGCCGAGATACATTTTGTGGTGGAAACATTTTGCCCAACCTAGTTTTCCTCCTAAAAGCCCTCTGTCTGTGCCTCTACTTAGTAGAACATTGTAGGAAGAGAGATGTGTTGGTTTATAGTAGCCAAAAATAAGGGGTCTGATGACATCTTTTCAGACTAATGTATTTTATTAAAAGGCTTAATAAAAAAAAGTAGTCTGAAAAGCTGCCACCAGGTTTCTGCTGATTTTTGTCATGCACCAGTGAAGTTAGATTTCCTTGATCCAGTTTTCCAGATGTTTTACACCAAAATATTAATTGAGTCATATTGGCTTGGAATTTGGGTGTTGTAACCCAATGCATCTAAAATCAACTAAGCTGTAAAATAAATAAAGCGAGTTGCTCACCAATGTAGTGCCAGTGCTATTATAGGAATTGCCCCTATTGCAAATTAGCTGCTGAGTATATTAATACTGGTATTAAAAAATACTGTTTTCCCCCAGACAGTAAGAGATATATTGTGGAAAAATACAAATTATAGTCAAGTTCAGAACTTTATGTTATGGTGATTCATGGGGCTCATACAACAAATTGTGGAGACGAGCTTTATGTTGCAACACCCATCATCCCTTGGTGTTGGACATGTTCAATAGTACCAGGGAGGGGGGAGGGGCACAATTACCTTTTGTCTTTAAAGAAAAGACAAGCAGGAGTGATATAAGATAAATTTGATGTATGTATAGCATGTGAATTTGCCTTGAATTCAAATTTTCATTTAGTCATTAATTTGGTTGGATAGATTTTGACAAATATTCCTATTCAGATCAATTTAGATCTCATTTTAAATATATTTTTGAATCCATACTTTTCTCCCTTTCATCAAACAAGCTGGCAGAAAAACCTTGGTTACGTAGGAAAAACCTGGCTAGAGGAAAAAAAAAACACACACACACACACACACACACACACACACACACACACATATATATATATATTCATAGAAAATTTTATTTTAACAATTGAGTTTTGAAATTTAATGCCCACATTCTGTTTAAATAATGGTTTTATACGTACCGGTATTTGTCATAGTTATATATTTATCATTTATTTATTTGCTTGTCTCAAACTATATCATTCAATATGGCCTCAGTGCTCTGTGCCATAATATCTAGCCTAACTGCCTTAAATATAATGGATTTAAGATGAAAAAATAATTAAACAGGGGGACCAATTACAAGGAGAGATGAATATATTTAGCAAAGCTAGTTACAATCTGTTCAGGATAATTTAATTTGAATTCTTGCTCTGAATAGACATTGTACTTCACAATGTGGATAACTCCTTCCAACACTGAAAATGCTTGAAACAGCAAAGTAGACCTTAATAAGTCAGATTCTTTGCAAATAACGGTATTGTTATAAGTAGCATCCTTTCACTGGAACAATTTTCTGTATCTCACAACTACCCATGTGTAATAGAAATCTAGTTGTGTGCTTGCTTTTCCCAGGAGTCATTCCTTAAAGGTAAGAGTCCTTACTTTTGCGTAGAAGATCCTAGGAAATTCATCAGGCACTGAAATCTTTAATAGGAAAAGGCCCTTGTTTAAAGACTTGGTGAGCTACTCCAAGTTAGTGAATATAACATTTTAAGCTACAGTATATGAGCCAAAGGGACACGGTGGCTCAGTGGCTAAGACGCTGAGCTTGTCGATTGAAAGGACAGCAGTTCAGCTGTTCGAATCCCTAGTGCCGCATAATGGGGTGAGCTCCCATTACTTGTCCCAGCTTCTGCCAACCTAGCAGTTCGAAAGCATGTAAAAAATGCAAGTAGAAAAATAGGGACCACCTTTGGTGGGAAGGTAACAGTGCTCTGTGCGTCTTTGGCATTTAGTCATGTTGGCCACATGACCACAGAGATGTCTTTGGACAGCGCTGGCTCTTCAGCTTTGAAACGGAGATGAGCACCGCCCCCTAGAGTCAGGAACGACTAGCACATATGGGCAAAGGGAACGTTACCATATATGAGTGAAATTATAAAACAAATGTCTTTTTCTTCCTGGCTATCTAGGAAGGAAATAGAGCCCAGGGTAATTATTTTGTTTTTGAACTGTTGCTTTGATAATGCTGGTCAGAGGAGGAAATCACACTGGAACTAGGCTAATCTTCCTCAGCCTGGATCACTCTAGCTCTGTTGGGTTTCAGCTCCCAAAATTCCTAGCTATAACTATTGCCCATACTGGCTGAGAATTCTAGGGGCTGAAGGCTTGGAGAATGTAGCTTTAGACTGCAAATGTAAAAGACTCCATGTTGGAGTTGCCCCAGATATAATTCAAAAATCAAAATCCATGAGCTACCCATTATACATAAGACACTTTGTGGAACAGAGTGCGAAAAATAGGCTTGTAATTAAATCTTCTTGAATTCATCCTTGCTGTTGATGTGCTCTGCAGAGATACCTGTGTTGCATATTTGGAGTTAGAATTCTGTGATTTCTATTGAATGCCAGAATATAGCAAACATGGTTGACTTCTATATTTTCCATTTCCTCCTTTCTTGAAAGAATCTGTTATGCCAGGTACTTAAAAGGAAAACTCCAATTGTTGGAAGTAGTGTTCTTTGCCTTGAATTTAAATGGGATAACATTTTGAATCAAAGGATTGCATCATTCTTTTGGCTAAGTGCTCTCATATATCAAGTGGGGAGGAGGAGTTAAACAGTTTGGATTACAACTGTAACAAAATGAGTGCTGCATACTTTCCTTTTCTTCTGGGGCATGTTCTTTTTCAAAGTTTATCCTTTGCTCATTCTCAGTTAAGTGTCTCAGTTATTTTTTCCAGCACAAACTGTGTTTACAACTTGGATAATACCACTCCAGAATTTGTAATCTTATTTTTAAAGAAAAAATAGGTACAAAAGATAGTTCCCCTATCAATGGAACATAATGTTCCTATCAGTGGAACATAATATTTTATTCATTAAAGGGGTGAAGGCCATTACTATGTCTAGAGTATAATTTCTCTTTAAGGATCACATATTATGACCACTTATCTAAATCAGAGATTGGTAATCCAGGATCCTCTATATGCTTAACATTCAAAGAAATATAGACCTAAACACGTATCACTTGATGTGATGTTTTATGGACATAAAGATTTATTCATTAACTAATGAAGAATATCAACTGTTAATGGGAAAAACAGCTGCCTAAAACAGCTGGCTTAAAATTTTAATGGGCTATTTTATGAGTAAGGGGTTTTAAAATTTGGGGAAGCCAAACTAATTTAATTCTGTTTTAATTTATTTTAATTTTTATATTGTATGTATTTTAATTTTGGCTGTTCACCGCCCTGAGTCCTTCGGGAGAAGGGCGGTATACAAATTTAATAAACCTAAACCTATATGCTATTGTGAAAGAGTATTGTTAAACGCTAATTGAAGGTACTGAAATTTACTGAACCTATTAAAATAAATGAGATGCATCAGTCTTGTCTTAGATTTCATTGTTTTCATTAGTAAGTAAATCTTTGATTTTAAAAAAAAATCCCAAATTTTAAGAAATAAAAAAGGTCTTCCAGCTAAAGAAGTGAATAAAATTATCTTAAATGGTTGAATAATACCAGGACATTATTTTAGTGTTTAGAGAAGATACGGTTAGAATACTTGTGTTTGGGTGTGTGGAGAGTTAGCAACATAGAGCAATGAAGGTGATTTGGCATTTATAATTGTTTAAGGGATTATGAGCCCCCATGCTAGCAATTTGCTATAAATTAATTTAAAGAAATTATGCTTTTTTTCAAAATGAAGGAATTGAAAGCAATAATGTTTTCTTTCAAAATGAAAAAATTGAAATGAAAGAATTGAAAAATTGTAAACTCTGGCTTGCCTTCTCCTCAAGAAGATTAGTATACAGTAGCATACTAAATTGCTCTTAAATTGATCAGGACGATTCTTTGATTGTAATTAAAAATACTGTGAAATCCAGAAATGTTGTAGTTGGTATGGAGCTGGATTGCTATTATTCTGCTCATCCCATTATCTGGCATTTTTGATGCCAGAGAGCTTGTTGATTTTGATTTCCTGTTGAAATGCTCTTTCTGCTTCGTTTTTTTCTCCCGATAACTTTCAGCACTATTTATTTAATAACACCATGAACACCATGAGTTTGTCATTTGAAGAATATGAAGCATGTATAGATCAAAATGAATGGTTAAGGTTTCCTCCCTCCCTCCCTCCCTCAAGACAAAAAATACAAAACCACAGAAGTTGCAGAAACTGGAGAAAATTAGAAATAGATCAAATTCATTTCTGTAATGGATCAAATCAAGGGAAATTTGTTTCTCAGACTTTTTTAATGTGGATCCCAGCATGTGAAATGTGAATATGATAGTAGCAATCTCTGACTCCACTTTACTGTGGGTAAACTTAACAAAAACGTGGATGTCAAATTATGAAAAGAAGCTGATTGCAAAGCTGTAAACCCTAACCTTCAAAATTATGGAAACAGCGATTCACATACATATTGGCCTTTTGCACAAAGGCCTCTATCCTAGTTGTAATAAAAAAAACCTTCATTTACTAAGTAATTAAAATGGCATAATCCCTGTTCAGTAGCAGACAGGAGAGAAGAGGAAATTTAAATGCATCATCTTGTAAAAGATCTTTGCTCACTGGAATGTGGGACATAATGTCCCTTCATAATGGGATATTTTGTAGTAGGTTCCTCTTTTTCAAATGAGCAAGATTTCTTGA